CCCATGCCTTGCTCTTTCATTGGCTGTAGCTCGTCGCGACACCTGACACCACATGATGTCGAGTCGGCAGATATTTAGCATGCTAGATATTCGTTTGCTGTCTGCGAGGCGTCGACGACGTGTCAGCGAGCCTCTTTGATGCGTCATTGAGTTGTTCACACATAAAGATTGCTATATTTCTTCAAAAGCAGATCATGGAGACATATTAATCATCCACGATCAAAAAACATTATATCGCACACCCCTACACCAATGCTACGAAAAAATAAAGCTCTAAAACAGCGGTGTCCAAACTCAGTCCTGTAGGGCCAATGTCCTGCAGAGTTTACCTCCAACTTGCTTCAACACACCTGCCTGGAAGTTTCTAGTGTGCCTAGTAAGACCTTGATTAGCCTGGTCAGGTGTGTTTAATTGGGGTTAGAGCTGAACTCTGCAGGACACCGGCCCTCAAGGAACAGGATTGGACTCCCCTGCTCTAAAACATTCTAGATCAGGGGTTCCCAATGCTGTTCTTGGAGATCTTAAATTGGAAGTTAAATTAATTAATCTCTAGTTAAAATAAGGCAAATTAATCTCTTCAGTAGCACTTGATAATTACAGGCTTCTGGGTTGGTGCTAGGCTGGAACTGAAGTCTGCAGGTAGGTAGATTTCCAGGAACAGGATTGGGCATCTCGGTTCAGTTCATGGATCTCCCTCCTAACGAGCTGATGATCTGAATCAGGTGTGTTAAATAAGAGAGACATAGGGCCTGTTTACACCTGGTCACTTCATGTGTTTTTTCTGATCGGATAGCTATCCGATCGTGAAAAGACCAGGTGTAAATGCCCTCCGAAACGCGTTCGAGACTAATATAAATCCGATCGCTCAAACCACTTCAGGAGGTGGTCTGGGCTGCATTCCCAACGAAACTGGACCAGTGTAAATGCATCTGGTTGTTGAAACCACATATGCAAATTGTATTCCTCCCAAACGTTAAAATAATAAACGTGTGAGAGCGTGTTATAGGCTATATGACATTATAGTCAGATGTGACAGCTATGATGCTAATGCAACACGCATCGCAGCGGACGAGTAGCTGAATATCTCTTCAGCAAGCCGAATGAAGTAAGTTGTGTGACTAACCTATCTTTCTAGTGCTGATACCGCTCGCTCTCCTATTGCAGGCTTTGATCTTGAAATGAGCTGATAATGAATAAAATGCAGCGCTTATCTTTTGATTACGTTGACGTGAACTCCGTTAAATTTAAATATAGCGCGGGAATTGAAGATCGGATTTATATCCATTTTGTGACGACACATTTATGTGGCCAAGTGTAAATGGAAACGTAGCAAATCAGATAGATATCCGATCAGTGAAAATGTATGAAATGACCAGGTGTAAACAGGCCCAAACTAAATGTGCAGAGCAGTGGTACTTCAGGACTGAAATTGAGAACCACTGGTCTATCTAGTCTATTTAGTATAGTTGGTTGTTGGGTGAATAGTCAGCCATCTTTTAAGACAAGTTCACACTACACGACACTATGTAAATGAGCCGCAACAGAGGGTCACACACTACACGAGGTGACAACTCTGTCACCCAATGACTCTACACGGTCCCCAAACCACGTTTTGTCACAAAAACACACGTAAAGTTGAATTGGAATGAAACAAAACAACAAGTGAAACAGGAGTTGTTTATTTGAAAATGAACGTCGGGAAGAAATTAGCACTGCAAGCTGTTTGTGTGATGAAAAAATTAGCTCCATTTCTTGTGTCCAAACTTTTCTTAAAGCCGTGTTTCTGCTGCTGTTTTTCTTCATCTGACCTCAACCCATGCCTTGCTCTTTCATTGGCTGTAGCTCGTCGCGACACCTGACACCACATGATGTCGAGTCGGCCGACCGGTCCAGATATTTAGCATGCTAGATATTCGTTTGCTGTCTGCGAGGCGTCGACGACGTGTCAGCGAGCCTCTTTGATGCGTCATTGAGTTGTTCACACATAAAGATTGCTGAGTGCTGATCACCCGCTGATTTTCCTCCGATCACAGCCCGACCAGTCGGTGAGCTCGTTAAATCCTGTAATGTGAACTAGGCATTAGGTGTAATAATGTTGTCTGTAGTGGCAGTTTGGTTTATCGTTATTCTGTGGACCATTGTAATCCAAGTTTGCTCCCTCAGAATAGCACATTTAAGTGGTCAGTGGATTAACTGTAATGGTAACATTGGTTAAGCTTTACTGAGCATCACAGTTAAGCACCACAGAGATTCCCTAAGGTGCAAACACACTTTTGTTTTGTACATTGTTATAAAACAGCCAGCTGGCTTAGCAGATGTTCACCTAACCATCTTTGAACACATCTAGACCACCAGGACTTTAAATGAACTAGCCATTTCTGTTCAGAGATAGTTTCTTGTTTATCATTGGTTTTTCTTAGTCTTTTAACTGCTTTTGTTTCATCTTGTAGGTGGCCCCCGACTTTTTCGAGTATTTCCGTGCGCTCTACCCCATCTTGCGATCAGATCCTACTCTTTGGTGCGTTTCCGCCTGGAACGATAACGGACGGGATGGGTTGGTCAACTCGGGCAAGGCTGACCTCCTTTACCGGACAGATTTCTTTCCCGGGCTTGGATGGATGCTTTTGAAGGAAGTCTGGGCAGAGCTGGAGCCCAAATGGCCCAAGGCATTCTGGGACGACTGGATGCGGCATCCAGAGCAGCGGAAGGACCGCTCGTGCATTCGTCCCGAGATCTCGAGGACTATAACGTTCGGCCGGAAAGGCGTCAGTTTGGGTCAATTTTTCGACCAGTATCTGCGCTACATAAAACTCAATACTGAATTCGTGCCTTTCACTAAAGTGGACTTGTCCTACTTGGTCAGGGAGAAGTACGATGAAACCTTTGAAAAAGAAGTGTATAGTGCCCCCTTGGTGAAGGTGGAGGAACTACAGCAAGGTGGAAGCCTGAAAGGCTCTGGGCCGTTTCGAGTTGAGTACTCCAGCAGAGACAGCTTTAAAGTGATGGCCCGCAACTTGGGAGTTATGGACGACTTGAAGTCAGGGGTTCCCCGTGCCGGTTACAGGGGCGTAGTCAGCTTTATTTCCCGCGGACGAAGAATTTATCTGGCTCCCCCTGAGGTCTGGACTAAATATGACACCAGCTGGAGCTGAGGAGGATGAGCTTTGAACCACAAAAGACCAGAAAGAGAAAACTCACAACTATTCTTATAAGTACAGGAAGAGAGAAACGCCCTCTCAAACCAAAGAAAACAGAGGCAGGGTGTGAAAGTTTGAGGAAAGGTTAACACTAAGATGAGTGAGTGAGTATTAAATAACTGCTGTTTTGTTATGGAGGAACACCCAGAAATGCTGGGAACAGCACAAAAGTTGTATTTGTGCAGCAAGCATGCAACAATCTTCCCTCAGAGAAAATAGAGTTACGCTGCAAACAGCTCCTATGCAGAATCGCTCATTCTGACATGGAGAAAAATAATCAGATTTTTTTTTTCTTCCTTATTTGAACGTACTGACCTTTCTGTTGGTGTCGACATCAATCCAAAAGGCACATAAGAGGTCATTTATCCCATCACAGTATCTTTTGGGTGAATCTCATGAAAACACTCACATTTTACTCAAATCAGTAGAAGAAATTATATTTGCATACATGCCGAAAAACCAACCATTTTTGTAACATTATTTTCATTGCAAACTCATTTTTTCCTTAAATCATTTTTGTAAGGAATCTGACTTTTTTTTTTTTTTCATTATTCTCAGTGATGATTTTAATTATAACAGGAATGACTGTATAATTAATACATATTATTGCTGTAATATTTTATATATATATATATATATAATTAATAATAATAGTTATAATTGTGCTTAATTTTTTGCTAAAAAAAAGTTTTCTTGACAAGTGAGATGCCCTCCGAAACGCATTCGAGACTGATATAAATACGATCGCTCAAACCACTTCAGGAGGTGGTCTGGGCTGCATTCCCAACGAAACTGGACCAGTGTAAATGCATCTGGTTGTTGAAACCACATATGCAAATTGTATTCCTCCCAAACGTTAAAATAATAAACGTGTGAGAGCGTGTTATAGGCTATATGACATTATAGTCAGATGTGACAGCTATGATGCTAATGCAACACGCATCGCAGCGGACGAGTAGCTGAATATCTCTTCAGCAAGCCGAATGAAGTAAGTTGTGTGACTAACCTATCTTTCTAGTGCTGATACCGCTCGCTCTCCTATTGCAGGCTTTGATCTTGAAATGAGCTGATAATGAATAAAATGCAGCGCTTATCTTTTGATTACGTTGACGTGAACTCCGTTAAATTTAAATATAGCGCGGGAATTGAAGATCGGATTTATATCCATTTTGTGACGACACATTTATGTGGCCAAGTGTAAATGGAAACGTAGCAAATCAGATAGATATCCGATCAGTGAAAATGTATGAAATGACCAGGTGTAAACAGGCCCAAACTAAATGTGCAGAGCAGTGGTACTTCAGGACTGAAATTGAGAACCACTGGTCTATCTAGTCTATTTAGTATAGTTGGTTGTTGGGTGAATAGTCAGCCATCTTTTAAGACAAGTTCACACTACACGACACTATGTAAATGAGCCGCAACAGAGGGTCACACACTACACGAGGTGACAACTCTGTCACCCAATGACTCTACACGGTCCCCAAACCACGTTTTGTCACAAAAACACACGTAAAGTTGAATTGGAATGAAACAAAACAACAAGTGAAACAGGAGTTGTTTATTTGAAAATGAACGTCGGGAAGAAATTAGCACTGCAAGCTGTTTGTGTGATGAAAAAATTAGCTCCATTTCTTGTGTCCAAACTTTTCTTAAAGCCGTGTTTCTGCTGCTGTTTTTCTTCATCTGACCTCAACCCATGCCTTGCTCTTTCATTGGCTGTAGCTCGTCGCGACACCTGACATATTGCTGTAATATTTTATATATATATATATATATAATTAATAATAATAGTTATAATTGTGCTTAATTTTTTGCTAAAAAAAAGTTTTCTTGACAAGTGAGATTCAGCCTTTTAAAGACCAATCTGAGTGTTAAAAGCCCTTTTAAAGCCCTTTCGCCAAGTTTTATGAGTCCCTGACATCATTTATAAATGAAGATTGTGTAGAATTGTAATCTATTTTGATCAATGCATTCATATAAAAGCGCAGACTCGTTCATTTGGCTTTTATGTAGCACCGTTGAATCTATGAAGTTCAAGCTTGCCAGAAATTATTCAAGCCTCGTGTAACTGACATACCAAAACTCTGGACAGCATCTCTTCTGTGCCATTCTGTTGAAGTACTGTACTTGAACCTGTTTTTGTTTTAACTGCTCTTCCTGGACCGGGAGAGCTCGCATTGCTTCTTAAAGATGTTGTAGGTTTGTTGCAAAACCAGTGGTCATGGAAATCACTTTTTTATGTTCTTACGGATGAAATAAATGGATTTCAGTAGGCCGGAGGAGACATTTTAATTAAATGTATTGTATCTAAAGTTTTGGGAGAGAAATGATCTGATATTAATGCAAGCTCGCATTGCTTCTTAATGATGTTGTAGGTTTGTTGCAAAACCAGTGGTCATGGAAATCACTTTTTTTATGTTCTTACGGATGAAATAAATGGATTTCAGTAGGCCAGAGGAGACATTTTAGTTAAATGTATTGTATCTAAAGTTTTAGGAGAGAAATGATCTGATATTAATGCATATGCAGTATGAAGAAGTGTGAAACCACTGCCTGACATGTTTATAACTTTAATACATTGAGAATAAAACAGACTATTTTGATATTTGATATTGACAATATATTCTGTTTTTCTGTCTTTTTGCCCATTTAAACATCCTTTTAGGAATCATTAGATCTTTGTTGAATTTTTAAGGTCACTCATTTTGAGGTTTGTAAACGTGTTCTTTCTGTGTCATGTTGGTTGTTAAAGCTGAAATCCTATCCGGTGACTTCCTTCCAGGGATCATTTGTACAAACCCCCAACATCAGCACTGATCCAGGCGCCATTGTGACATATCTCTGACGCTCCAGATTTCCTTTCTCATTCCTATTGTGTCCTGTTGACTTCCTGTCTTCTGACTCTCTGTTGCTGACATTACTACGTTCTTTTCCTGTTCTTGTAAAACCTCCAGCAACTTTTGAAAAGCCAAAAGATGTGTGTTACTGATTAGATGAATTGGACATTCATTTTGTGTTTCTTTAGCCATTAATCGGATTCATTTTCCTGGGAAATAGGCAGTGGTGAATCATACTGGAACATCTTATTCTAGCAAGATTGATTAATTGGTTGATCATATTGCCACATCAGATCAGGGACATGAGTAGTAGTTGAAATTAAGTTGTTATACTACTTCAGAACGTATCTAGTGTGCTTTCACACTTTATGACTTGTTAAAAACAGCTAATTTGATAGACCTCTTTCAAGTCCCTTTTCCATCAACAGAGTGGAATCTGGAAACGCTTTTTGCACTTCTGCTGAAAACCGGCCCAAATAAGCAGCTGGTCTCAAACCAAGATGTTTTCAAAACAACAACAGCTCAGTCTGGAAAGATTTTCACAAAACTAGGTCGTCGTCTTATTATACTGAAACAAAGCTGTCTATATTGGAAACGTCTGATTCAGTGATGAGTTCAGTTGACGGACGTCCAACTCTGAACGCACAGCAACTAACCGTTTCATCTTCTCCGTCCATATGAAATAAGACCTGTCATATTAGTGAACTGATCGTTATGAATTTGAATCATTTTATCTTCTGACCATTGCATCAAAAAGAACATATGCAAGTTATCTTTCAGCTCTGAAAGGTAGTTATAAGGTGGGCCGGTTTACAAATCAAATACAGCTAAGACTGCTCTGCGCCTGCTCAAAATTCAATGTAAAGATGCATAAAAGCCAGGTCATACCTTCTCTGACACACATCACCCCCAGTATCAATATACAGTTGAAATAGTGGTGTAAATGCATTCAGGCCACCTCAGAGCAGCATTAAACGGTCTGTATAAATGCCACTTTGCCTTTACAGTGTAAATGACTTCTGAGGGTCTGCATTCATTAAAACCTAGGTGTCCTTCATTTTTCGTGTTCCGCTCTGTCTCGTGCACAGATGGTGAGGTCCAGTGAACTGTTCTTTCCAGTACGCAGCATATTTTTTGTCATCAGTACAGTCTGCAGAACTGGGGAAGGAAAGTTGACTTTTGGCTTTAGAGTGTTAACTAGCCAAAAATCTTACGAACCACTCTGAAATCTTAAAAAACGGACTAAGTGTGAAAACACTAATGTTTAAATCATTGAAAACAAAGTGTCTGTAAATGAAACAAACAGTTTATTTGGTTTAACAAGCATTAAGTAGTTTAAACAAAGTGGCCATTTGCCTGGCAACTGAACAAACACTGAATACATAGTGTTGATACCTACTTCACTGGTAACAAGCATTCAGCATATACTGCTAATATATTGAATAACTTTCCAACAATTTTACATCAATGCAATCAACTGTATGGTCCACTATAATCCAATGATGAAAACTCCTCTCAAAACAGAAACAAAAATTATGCCTCGCCATTATAAATAACCAAAATTCAAAAACAATCAAATTAATCCTATTGGGAGGGGAAATATTAACATTGAACAATGCATTTTTTTTTTTTTTACTTTCAAAAAATACACACTTGCAAAATCAAAACTGAACTAATGAGGAGGTTCTAGGAAATCCACTACAATATAAGATAACTGTGATATGAGCTGTTTATTTTAAGTATTCACTAACACTGTTAACAGTCTATGTGAAATATAAACTCTCTGTTGCTACCTAATGCTACAATGCCATGCATCCTCAGAAGAAACTGCTGCCTTTTGTGTTCTGTCGTCTTTATCGTGTTTGCTCAACTAGGAGAAACAGATACACAAGGAGAAAATCATGTAAGTGCACAAGAACTGTTTGGACTTATTTCCTCAAAACATTTTAACTAAATATGGACAATTTCGACATTTTCTATTAACAAAAACCCCCAAATTTGATTTCTGTCATTAGGTCTCCTGCATACAAATGTTTTAATTTTGGAGCTTGACAGCGCCACTTCCCATTCACTTTCATTATATGGAAGAGAGCAACCTAGACATTCTTCAAAATATCTTCACAGGAAAAAAAGGCAGTTGAACAGGTTTTTAAAATAAGGGTGAATAAAATGATGAGAGAATTGACTTTTGTTTTGTGAATTGTCCCGTTAAAACTACTTTTAAATGGAAAACCAGCCTGTAAAGATTAAATATTATCACTCACTATATGACGAGATGTCAATCTCCTCTGGAAGTTCGCTGATGTTCACCTCAAACCTGTCCTGAACATCGTTCAAAGTGCGGGCGTCAGTCTCATCTGACACAAAGGTGATGGCCAGACCTTTCGTTCCAAACCTGCCGGCCCTTGCAACCTGAAGGAATGAGAAAAGTTAAAGCTGTTCAGATGAATCCTTTTACAGCCCATAACTTGGCTTTGTTTGACAAATCATTATCACATGAACTGAACTGACCCTGTGCAGGTATGTGTCTGAATCTTCAGGCATGTCGTAGTTGAAGGCGATGTTGACTCGTTCGATGTCCATACCTCGGCCAAACAGGTTTGTGGCCACCAGGATCCGTCTCTGGAAATCCTTGAATTGCTGATATCGAGCTAATCTGAGATAATAATAAGAGTCTTAAATGTGATACGAGCACCTAAAAAAATCCTACAATCATATCTGTAACATTAAAGTGGATAATGTGTAATGTTTTCTACCTTTCGTCTTGAGGCATTGCTCTATGAATGGCAATGGCAGGGAAATTTTGCTCCACCAGCAACTGAGCCAGAGCAATACAACGCTGCACGGACTTCACGAAGATCACCACCTGCAATACTAAGCAGCTGTGACACTGTACCAGCCAGCTGTCTTCATTCAAATGAAACAGCAAATCCCAATGGCCACTTCAAACCAAGTGCAAAAATTCCTTTAATTCACCTTTTCCCCCCCATAGCTTATATCAATCTTTTGGAGTGCTTGGCAAAAAAAATTGCCAAATACCAAATTTTTTTTAGGTCATCCAGAAACCCAAATAAAA